ACTCCGCGTGGCCCGCCTTCTCCGCGTGCACCTCCTACTCCGCGTGGCCCGCCTTCTCCGCGTGCACCTCCTACTCCGCGTGGCCCGCCTTCTCCGCGTGCACCTCCTACTCCGCGTGGCCCGCCTTCTCCGCGTGGCCCTCCTTCTCCGCGTACAGCACTAGCGCCGCGTCATTAGTCTGGGTAACCGTTGGGGATTTACTCTCTCAGCTTGCATTCCACATGCTGTCAGATGGATTTTGTACAGGTTGCTTATGTAGATTTATCACTATAGACAGATCTTTTATTTTTCTCTTAATTTATTTAATGAAATTGTTTAAAATGCAAAATATTTTACAATGTCCAACTTTTAGAATAAAGTAAATCTGAATCAAAATTTTGATTTTGAATTTTTGTTTGGTTGTACTGAACTGAGTAACCCAGCAAAATGCAGGATGCTGGGGTATTCAGTGACACACCAACCAGCAGTGACATCAGAAGCTCGACCATCCTCTCCAATGAGCTCTCATAATGGCTTCTGGACGTTGTGTATCGCTGTCGTGACATTCTGCCTAATGTCTCTGAGTTGGCGGTCTTTGAGCTGTGATTTGGCTGCCTGAAAAAGCACGGTGACCTTTATCTGCGACTCTGTAACGAACCGTTGCATGTAACAGGGTGCCAGGCGGAGATGCTGCTTACGGAGCCGATCCTGCCCCCCAAGGACATGTCTCGGATGGCTTAGCGTGCTCCATAGCTCTTCTGCTATTGGGCAAACTGAAACACTTTGATTTTATAAAATAATTTCCTACTAAATGGTGCTCCCTCCTCCCCGGGCGATTCCTGAGAATGTGCTCCTGTCACCACGTCCCATCAGGTGGCTAGATGATGCTCCTGCTGTCATCTCATCACCAATCAGCTCGGTCTACATCACCCTTGAAGGCTGGCGGTCCCGGTCAAAGCCCATGTTCCGCCCGAGCAGCTGCCTAATGGACCGACAGGCACTCTGCTCCCTGGGTGCTGTAACCTTCCTTCTGCCGGCTGTTTGTTGTGGTCCCGGGACCTCGCTGTGGCCGGCCGTGAGGGGGTGGGCCATGTTTCATGCCGCACGGTAATGCTGTACAGCCATTACGCTGAGAGCAAAGTACTCTGAGCAGTTTGAGTCAGGCTGCCGTTAATAGCACCATTAGGACGACCCCGCAGTGGTCCCGCGCTCCTGCGCTGATCTGCAGTGCACTGCCTGCATTCTGCTGCTCGCAGTCTTCACCTTAAAATATTCACCTTTTGAAGGAGGGGAACAGGAACCCCGTTAGGATTATGTTCCGTGTCTGTGAGCTTGGTGCATATATAGCACGTAAGTATGGAAGAAATATGTGTATTAAGCACAACAAGAACCAGGAGAGACGTGTTTCTCATCTGTGGCTGGCGAAGACGCGCCATCATCACAGGAATTATCCTCTTCATTTAGAGTGAAGCACAGCGGCTGTTCCCCCCCCCCCCCCCCACAAAGTAGGACTGGAGAGAGTAGCGGGTCATTTCCCAGAATGGTAATTCTGAAGGCAGGGCGGTCCGAGAATGTCCCAGCCGCAGGATTTATGCGGAACATCTTGTTTCATCCGAAGCCCCATCATCTTGCCGTACCTGTATACGTCAGCGGGTCACGTGATCCAGCCGTTTCTAAAACGGGGTCGTCGAATGGGATGCATCATGCAGGAGGGGCGCTGCAGTGAACATCAGTGACTGAGACTGATAGCGGTTTGTGGGCTTAGGTGTCATCAGTCAGGCTATGCTTGCATTCCCTGAAAGTTTTTCCCCTCTAAGGTTAAATAGCAAAACAGTCAGATCTGGTCCTCATTCATGTGAGGTGACTTGCTGCTACTTTGCGTTACTCCCCTCATTTTTAGAGGGCTTTATGAAAACAGTCATCCTGGAAGAGGCCCGTCATCCGGGTCATGTGCCGTTCCCGTAAATCTGTCTCTCTACCTTGTAAGAAGGCTGCCGCCCATTATCGCAAACCACCGTCCCAGTGAGGCTGAGTCCAGCCGGAGCTGATTCCTGGGTCTGCGTGCAGGTGCCCCACACACACGCTAAGAGCACATCACCGCTTCACCGGCACACGAACGCTGAGTGTGCGCCGCAAACACACACAGACTCAGAAATGCACCTTTCAGCTTGAGAGAGAATGAGGTTTTTAACTTAGTGTTTCAGACCACAGCTTCTGAAAAATGGAGTCCAAGCACATGTTCCTTTGGCGGTTCAGGAAGCACCGCTGCGTTCTCTTTCACATTCTGTGCTTATTTCCCCCTAAACCTCTGAATCATCGTGTTTTGGCTCATTTCACCGGCCATGAAAATCCTCCGCTGGATTCTGCTTTGTCACAGCACATTTCACGCTGGATGAGGAGCCACAGACAATTGGGATGTAAATGGGCAGCGATACATTTCAGACAAATCGGTGAAGTTTGAGTGTTATCTGTTGTTCTCATTCTGTAAGGACGGTAAGATTCACGGTTAGATCAAAATTACTGTTTGGAAAAGGTGGACTGAGAGAGCAAACTTCTGAGACTCACTATAAAGGGTTTATCTCACCAGCTATGGAGGTGAAAACCTTTTTGATGAATTTGTGCTAAAGATCGGCTGCTGTCGTCGTCACAGTGATACTGGTGCCTGTTTAGCTGTGGCCAGTAAGCATGTGTACAGTCCCTGTAACTCAGGTGCTACCTCATTCATCCCCATCTGGATATCCTCTCTTTGCCAGCCCCGTCTTGCTCCCCATGAGACTCGCAGACATGCACGCAGGTGAGAGTAAGCTTGGGGTGACTGCACAGGGTCAGCCAGCATGCAGTGCCCCCTGGGGCTGGGGGTTCGTGGCCTCGCTCAGGGGCCTATGGACATGTACATGACGTTTCTGCCAGGGCTGGAGTCCTAACCCACCGAGCGACACACCAGCCCCCCATGTTGACCATTTCCCAGAATGCATGGCAGAGTGGAATCTCATTAATGTGTGAGAACGGAGCAGCCTGAGTGGGAAAATGCTGCAGAAATACTTTATATGCTTCTGCCCATTTGGTTTTATTCAAATTAAGCAGAAAACAGCACAGAACCCCCCCCCAGGTATGTACTATTGCATTTTAATCCCACAATGCAAATCCTTTACTCTCAGAGACACAGAGCAGAGAGAAACTCTCACTCTGATTGGTCTGGCTTGGACTTGGCGAGGAACGCGATTGGGTGGCGTGCTTGTTACATACCGCAATGAGGTCCTGTCTCAGTCTGCCTGCCTCGCACCGCCAGGAGGGCAGGTTAAAGCGGCACTACGTGTTTTTCTCCACGCTTCAGTGCCCCTAACAAGCAGACCTTTGTCAGAGCAGGAGGGAGCTCAGCTGCACTGCTAATTAGCTCACATAAAATGTTACACTACCTGAATTGTCTCTGAATAAACAGTGTCGCTTGGGAAAAGTAATCTCACCCAGCCACCCGTCACGCTTCTGTCCAAATGGCCGGCTTGCACGGCCCGGGCCAAGCCCTCACGTGGCCACCAGCCCGACCGGAGACTCAGCTTTTCCGTCCACGCTGATGGGGCGGCCATTGGAGTTCACATTCAAGATTGCAGTCTGTGCCATAAACAAGATGGAAGGATCACGAAACATTAATGACATAAGTTAATGAAATAAGTACTAAAAATGTAGAAAGATATTAAAAAGTACAGTTAAAAAGTTAGAATACTTGAGAAATGCAGGCTGCAGCCACGGCTAGATCGGATAAGCTTTATTTATCGCTTTTAACGGGCCTGGGAGTTTGGCTGCTCTGCTCCCGTCGACGGCTCGTTGGTCACCATGAGATAGTATTGCTGTGTTTAATCGCCGCTGTGCACAGGCAGTCACAGTGTGGGCGTCACGTGCAGGGAAAACACGACGCACCCATCTGGCACGTTACTCTCTACTCCGGTAATGAGTCTGGCTCTGAAGTATATACTTCAAATTACAGACCACGGTGCCAGATAGATTACCTGTTTGGGAGACACATTTGCAGGTATATTTTTATCAGTATAAACTTTAAGTATGTAAATAAAAGCTGAATTCAATCTGAAAATTAATTGTATTGTCGAAAACATCTTAAAATGGATTATTTACACAGGCTCTAGGCAGCAGATGGATTATTATGATCATTCATTGCATGAGATTTTGTTTGGCAAAATAAATGTCAATTTCCCTGTTATTTAAGCTCTTTTGGGTAACACTATAAACAAAGATTAGCAGACAAACTAATTTTCATCCACCCATGCATCACTGTGAAGTTGTGTCGATGCCCATCGGTGTGTGACTTAGCTGGATGGCATGAACATCACCATCTAGGGGACAGCAGATCATTTATGACGGATGGAGTCCTTTTGCTGACCGGCGTCTCCACAGCCAAGCTCGCTGCCACACTTGATGGGACCAGCAAGACCTGCAGTTGCATGGACACAGAGGAGCCATTAGAGATTCGGGCCCCCACCCCAGACCAATTCAATTATGTCCCAAATTTTTTAGGGCCCCTGTCACTCCGAGGCCTTTGGAATTGTTCTAACTCCCCCGCCTTCATGGGGCGCCGGCACGGACACGCGATAGGTTGGAAGTTTTGTCTACATCTGTTTCCTGGTTCTCCTTAAGCAGTCGGCATCCTGCACATAACAGGTTTCTGAGAAAGTCACGCCTGGGGGGTCGATGATGCTGCTGGACGACTCATTGTTGATCTCAGGCTCCCATCGACTTCATGAATGAAATACAGAATGAACTGTACAGGTTCCCTACAAGACCAGAAGGTTTTGGCATGAAGACTTTATGATAATGTCTACGATGGCAGATTCAGCTACTGCCTGTTCCATGATGCAGCCTCAGGGAGCCTCTTCTGTCAGGACCTGCATCTGTCAGTCTGCCCCCTATTGGCAAACCTCACATCTACAGGGTTGTGGCTTTAAGTCCATTTCTGGGAACTGAGTGTTTCTTGTGGGTGTTTTACGAAAGAGTATTCAACATACACCCCAAATGGCTTAATTGCTGGAGGATGAATGATGTGGTTGTGATTTCTGTGCTTGATTAAGTCCCCTGAGTGTTTACAGGAACATGAGTAGATTTTTGTGGTGAACTGTATCCATGCAGCTTCTCATACATCTCATTAACGACTTCTCAATAAAGCCCTGAGCGCTGAAACCCTTTAAAAGACAGTACGCTTAGATAGTACCAAAGGAGAGAGCAGGACCGCCCTGCCGCTGCCCAACCGTGAGCAGCTTCACGTGACGCGTGGCTGCGGGGAATGGTCTACAGTGGAATGGCAGGGGGGGGGGGTCAGCGCAGCAGATCATGTCTGGGACCTATAGCTCAGCATGACCCTTAGCAGCCTGAAACGGAAGACTGTAGTTCAGTCCAGGGGATGTAGAGGAAATGGTTTGGGGGGATCCCGCATTCAGCTGAACCTCTACTGGCTCCCATCGCTCAGCGACTTACTCTGCGTTTTCTACAAATGCTCAATGCAAAGCATAATTTCATCAAAGGCACATGAGCACAGCGGCAAGAGATTAGCAGGAAATGATAATTCATTCAATTTGTCCAACGCAGCCACACACAGTCCCTGAAGTATTACTGAAGTGGCTGCCATGGCAACCTTATCATCCCTGAAATATTTTCTGTTTATATATGTCACAGAGTCATTTAGCAAAAGCTGCTTGTCAATAAGACCAATGGCTCTGAATGGCCTTCAATTTAAATTCATTTGGTCACATTAGCTCTAGGGGATTATTTTAAATGTTACATTCTGTGACACATTTATCTCAGTTTAGCATAGAAATTGAACATTAAGATCTGTGTTATCACTGCGTACCCTCTTAAAACTTCCCGAAGGTCTGCCCTGCACAGAAATACTAAATAGACAAACAAATTAACAAACAAATCATTCAGAGCCCGAGGACAGAGGAGTGTACTTTGGTTAATTTCTAAACATTTAGAAATCTCAGCAGGTTGCTGTCCAGTAAATCTGAAGCGGGCATCCAGACCTCCTACACTGGCATCCTGAGCTGCTTCTAGGCATCTCACTCCGATGTCCTCAGCGGCCACGTTAATGTGCTTCACTTACAGAAAGCTTGACGCTGACTGAAATTGCACCATCCAGACTTAACGAAGCGGACCGCTTGTCCACTGGTCCTTCTGCTGTGGAATTGCCAGACCATAAACACGATTGGCTGCATGTGATGTGGCAGCCATGGCCTTGGAGATAGACAGACCCTGTTTCTTAGGAGGAGGTGGTCTGCACAGGTGTGACGTGAGACTGCCAGGCATTTCCCTGTGAACCTGAAGTTACATAAAACGGTGCCTCATAAAGACAGATGGTTGAGAAGTTTATCAGGGATGGAAACATCAGTTTCCCCCGAGACTCAAGACTTCCTCAGTACAAAGAGTTACGCATTTCCCTCGACCTTGACTTGTGGGCCCGGCAGTCGGAGTGCACAAAATATGTTTTTTGTCATTTTGTTTGTTTGTTGTGCCATATATAAATACTCAACCATCAATCAGATTCAAGGTGGGATCTGAACAACATACAGGGATGTGTGTCCAAATGCCGTCCCCAATGTTTCAACAAAGGAAACTCTAAATGAGAAGTGTTTCTGGGAGTGGGACAGCAGGATAGGACAGGGAAAAGTGAAACAGCCGAAAGTTTCTGTGTTACTGTGACTTCATCGTACATGCCCAGCGATACATCAGGTCACCTGACCAGTCACATGACACAGAAATGCTGGCAGGCCAGTGGTGCTCTGTGTGTGTCCATGTTCTAAGTTCATAGACTGATTTGTTGTTGAGTTTATCTTGTTCTCTCCCTGTAGACGTTCTCCAGGACATAAGGGAAGCCACCCATAGCAGCACCCAGGAAGCCAGGGGTTTGGGGCCTTGCTCAAGGACCCACAGACATGCTGTGACAGGGCCTGAACCAGCAACCTTCTGATCCCAGGCACAGAGGCTTAGCCCACTGAGCCACACACTGCCCTTACCTGCCTAACTCTTGGCAGACAAAACCTGCTGAATTATTTTATATCAGTAAACTTGAGGTCCGTCACCTTGGTGGTACACACAGCGCAGTAAGACCTCTTCAGTCACGGTTTGCTGCTTTTGGCCCTGTGTGCAGTGAATGCTAGGAAGTCTGCCCCCCGGAGCCTGCTCTGTGCCTTTGCAGCCTACGGGGTGCTAGCTGAGAGAGATAGCACAGAAATTACACATGGCTCCTTTACAGGTCTGTCTCTCTTTGCTTTATAGCATAATAAAGTTTTATTTTACAGCACGGGCTGAGAAAAGCGAGTTGTTTTTATTTCCACAGCTGAATCTCTGAATCTACGCTGCTTCGGTGGACAGGTTATGGTCAGCGGTTGAAATAAACTCACTGGCTGTGAGTCTCATCAGTCAGAACCTTTTTTCAGACACATCATACAAGCGCTGAGATTTAGAAGCTGGTGTTGATGGTGGGTTTGCTGCATTATGTTACCAGCATGACAGCAGAATGTCTGTGCATCTGCTACCTGGGCACACGCAGCATCAACTGCAGATTAGTGTGATTTCAGAACAATTTGAATTTGATTGATGCATCAAATAATTAAGATTAAGGCAAAAACTGTAACAATGCCTGTAATTGTGAACAGCCTGTGATTCAGACCAGTTGTAATCTTGAGAAGCTGCCTGTTCACTGTCCAGCAGCCTGCTGTCCTTCTGTCTGCAGGGCAGACGACGGTACTCGGCTGTTTGTTTGTTTTAATGCAACGCTATAGTATTATACACGCTTTAAACAATGGAGAACAAAGCTATGGCCTTAACGCTCATTTCCCAGATTTGTGTCTCGTGCTTTGATCACGCGAGGAGAGCGAGACTAAGTGCGAGCGCTTCATGTCAGCCTGCCTCGTTTGCATTTGGAAGCTTTTTTAGATCTTGCATATATACGATTTTAAGAGTGACATAAGCACCAGATCAAAAGCTCCAATAGCGCAGTGGAGCGAGTCTGAACGGGCAGCCGCGACGCAGAGCAACAAGCCGCTGATTCCGAAAACATAATGATCGCTTTGCACTGCGAAAGAAAATTGGCTTCGGAATAAAACAGCCACCCCTGGTTGCGCCTGAAGCTGAAATGTATCGGTAGCGCTTGACAAGTGCAAGAACAAAAATTAGAGCATAGAAATATTTTGAAAGTCGTGCTGTTAAATTGCCACTATAGCTTATTCCAAATCGATCCATGCAACACTTTTAACAAGTTGGCGTGCGTAATATCTCAGCAAATCCCTCCCATCTGGACAGCTGACAGTGAAAAAAGGCCGTAGTCTTTTCCAGGCGGGAATAATAATGTAACTCGTCAGGTAGCCTATATCGTCAGGACCTTCACACAGGCAACTGTTTTCCAAATAATCTCCTTCCAAGAATGTCTGCAGCTTCTTTTCATTAAGAAGAAACAGCTGTAGCTTCTTTGCGGCGAGTATAGGCTTATGATATATTGATAGTGAGTCCTGCTTTATTGCTCTGCGAGGCAAAGAGCCTGAGAAGCGCATTTAACCTCATGCCATTCCTCACATGGGAGTAAGCGCCTGCCTGTAAGTCCCGTCCGCCTGCTGGCAGTGTCTGCTCACACGCGACGTGGGTACCGAGCCAGTCACCGTCCGGTGCGGGGGGCTGCCGTGCTGCGGGGCGCTGTCCCGGCTCACACCCCTCCTGACTTCACTGTCACCAGGACACTTGATGGACACTTAATGGCTACAGTTCATTCAACCACCGCGCTAATTTAAAACAGACACAGTCTTAGTTTGATTAATGAGTGACGTGCAGATGTCGAAGTACAGCGTATGTAAAGGCGTATCTTTAAATATTGGTCACATTATGCATTTCTTTGGTGCGGATTCTGACTTTTAAATGAAAGATCCGTTTTCATAATTTATGCGCAACTTGTTTCGTTTTGAATCACTTCCCCGTCGATGGCGGTGCGTGTTTCGGCGTGTGTGATCTCTGTAGGCTACGAATCGGTGTAGCGCCAGTTCTTGATGGAAGGGGACGGTGCGCGGACCCGTCGGCACTTGGCACTTATTTAGTTCGGTTATACTGGTTTAATTCGGCAGCACTTAAGTCCGATATGGGCTGGGTGGGGAGGGCTGAGGTGGGGTGGGAAGCCGGGACGAGCGGCTGGGAAGGGAGCTGGAGCAGAATGAGCCGGGCGCGGCATAAGCAGAGACGGGACGCCGGGGAGACGCTCCGAGCACCGGGGGGAAGCTCCGCGGGCGAGGGATTTTAAACAGCCCAGTAAGCTCACAAATGACAGGTTTAAAATGACGTGTGGACTGTGGCTCGTTTTGAGTAGCATCAAATTGAAGTTTAAAGGCGAAATATCTAACAATATTTGTTTATGCATGCCAGCATTTTGGGTTCAGTCGGTAATTTAAAAATATTGTCATTGGAACTGCGTTTCTGTTATGTTATTGATTTAAAAAAAAAATTCTGGATATAATGTAAAACGGAACTCCCAATCTTCCGACTAAGTATTATTAGTGAATATAAAGTTATATTTATAAAACAAATTTTCAAGACCGACTTGTGTGTTTAAAATATTTAATAGCTACTTAATGTTATGCTTATTATAAACAAAATATTTGCTCTATAATAATGCAAAGTGAAAGGGTCTGCTGGCTCGCGCAGGTCGGCGTCACTGAGACCGGGAGACAACTCGCTGGGTCTGCGCCTCGCGGACGGAGCGCCTCGCGGACAACGACCGAGCGCGCGCAAGGTAACGCGCATCATGCATGCCGGCTTCCACGCTTACATGTTTAATTAACTGAAAATGCCTGTTTTTATTTTTGGTGAGAGTAAAAACCTTTTTAATTGCGTTACCGCTAATTTTAATGTGTGGATGGATATTTTTTTAAACAAAATGTCAATTTCAAAAGTAAGAAGAGTTAAAAATGCACTGGTATTTAATAATCAATGTTTCGTTATTAACCTGTCTTGTATTTAATGCACTTTATGTGTATCAGATATTTGTGTATAAATTCGGTACTTCCGAGGAATCCAAAGATGACGTAAATATAAACAGACCTTGGAAAACAGCCTCAGAGAATTTGTTGCGTATCAGAACATTTGTATTTATAATGAAAATGATTTGTAAATATTTTTCTCGTAGTGGCATTTTGCAGTAATAGATACGCGATCTGTTTACGCATGTACAGGGAATCAAAATACATTAGTCGTTCAGTATTAGCCAAAGCAATACCACTTATTTTCTTTTGGTTAATTGGCTTTCCGTCAGTTGCACGTTCGGTGGTATGACTGCTGTGTCAGGGTCATTGTACATTTGAAATGTTAATTGAGGTGGATACATTTCAGCTGTTTCATTAATCCCAAAAGTAAACCACCTTAATGTGTCTGTTAGCATGTCCTGATATACCTGCAAAATTAAGAGCTTAATTCCAGAGGTATTTTAATATATTTTGATGTAAAATGGTTTTGGTCAGTTTGCCACTCTTGTTATTGCATCATGAGGCATTAATTTTGTTATAAATGTTTATATATATATAAGTTGTATGTCAATGTGACTGTAGGCTACATAATGACAGTTTAAGTAAGATACTCTTAATAAAGACAGATAACTGAATTTTAACTTAAGTGACACCAGGTAACACGTGTGGTGGAACAAGCAATTGTATTTTATTTTACAAAAAAATAAAGATAATATTAATTAGCTTTTTATTTATTCTTATCATTCATGGCATTAATATTAGTCACCGGTGTCATAGATGTGGTGTAATACCGGTGACATTCTGATTAAATAGAAGATTTTTTTAAGTGCTGCCCCATGAGGATGAGCTACAACTGTTTAAAATCAATTATATAAAAGATGTATGTGATTATTTTGACAAAAATTCTACTACTCAGCCCATACAGTGCATAAGATTTTGCTGCACGAAAAACAAAATTAGTAATAAATTTTAGAAATAAAACAAGCAAGTATGGACTTACCTTCTCATTCCTTGAGATACTTCCTCTATGATGAGCCTTGACCCAAGGGAGCAGTTTAATAGGAACTACTACAATAAGTGTAATGTGTGTAATGTGTGTAATATGTGTTCCCATAACACCAATGATCAGAATCTCTGTGACAAATGTAATTTTTAAATGTGACATATGTTTTAAAAAGTAATAATGTATATAGTAAAACTTGAACTCTATAATAAGTTATGTCTTTTAAAAATAGTTTTATATTTAAGATGGTCTCTCAAATGTTGAAATGTGGTTCTGTAATGAGCTGTTTTACAGGTGTGTAGGCAATATGAAACGTTAAAGGGAGAAAAATCAAACAAATCATAAGGGAAATGTGTTATTTAATCATACATTAACTGTGCATAATATTTTCAGCGTGTATTTTCGCGTCTCCTGTGTCGCACTGCAGGTGGAGAATGATCCGACGTACATAAATCACTGCATTTTTGCTAGGGGTCCATGCTTGAACAAAAGTGGATAATACAGTGTCAGTATTTAACTTTTAAAAGAGAGAGTAATGCTTCGAGACGGCTTTCCCATGCCGCTGACCGTGTTTTTGCAGTTTCTCACCCTCGTTGGCCTCTTCTGACTGTAAAAGGCTGTCCCTCCCATTGCAGACGAGTCACCGTCCACCATGCTCAGCAACGCCTCAGCCCTGGAGGACTGCGCTGCTCCTGCCCCTCCCAACATCACATGCGTGCGGACGGACCTCTCCGTCATGGTCTCTGTGGTCTCCATGACTGTCGGCATGCTCTCCAACACCTTGGCGCTCGTCATCCTGATCAAGGCGTACCGTCGCTTCCGCCTCAAGTCCAAGGCTTCCTTCCTGCTGCTCGCCAGCGGCCTGGTGGTCACCAACTTCCTGGGGCATCTCATCAACGGCTGCTTGGCTCTCTATGTTTATAGCTTCTGCATGGACTGGAAGAGCATCGACCCCCACAACGTCCTCTGCAGCTTCTTCGGGGCCTCCATGGTCTTCTTCGGCCTGAGCCCCCTGCTGTTGGGCAGTGGCATGGCAGTGGAGCGCTGTCTGGGTGTCACGCGGCCTATCTTCCACTCGGTGGCGCTCACCTCCCGGCATACCAAGCAGCTGCTGGCGGCGCTCTGGTTCTTAGCCGCCGTGGTGGCCGCGCTGCCCATCATGACACGCCGGCCTTACCGCGTCCAGCGTTCCCGCAGCTGGTGCTTCTTCGCCGAGGACGGCGGCCATTGGCTGGACCTGCTGCTGCCGCTGCTCTTCGCCTGTGTGGGGCTTCTGGCTCTCCTGGTGTCTGTTCTGTGCAACACGGTGACCGGCCTCACGCTGATGCGCTCCAGGATGCTCCGGCAGCGGCAGCGCCGCGGCCCCACGGCCCACCACTTGGAGATGATCTGTCAGCTCGTGGCCATCATGCTGGTCTCCTGCGTCTGCTGGGGCCCCATCCTGGTGAGCAGCCGCATTAATTCCCGAGCCTCGCGCCTGCAAAGTCGGCCTGAACTCACGCTCAGCTACAGTGCTGAACGCGGGAGAATAGATTCAAGGTTTTGGGTGATCCTGATTCCCCAGGGACGGAGTGGAGTAGCTGGTGGGTCACCGTGTGACCCCCTGAGGCACATACCATCCCCCAATCACCTGACAGGGGTCTCAGCTCTGAAAAGAAGGCCGACAGATTCCTTCCATGTAATTATCACCTTCCCAGACAGTCGTATTCACACTATCAGGAGCATCGCACGGGCTTTGAGGGCCGTGAATGAAATCGCGAGGACATTCGCGTGGAGAAATGACCAGCTCGAGATCAGCCGGAAAGCAGCCACCCCTGCAGATGATATAATCCCTATGGTCCTCATCCCGCAAGCTTTGCCAAGCTGTAATTCTTGCTTTTTTTCCAGAATTGCGAGTTATAGCCTGTTAGACATTTCAAATAATTTAATGATTAAGTAAAAAGGGGGTCTTGAAACGTGCCTTACTGCTGCCTCGACCGAACGGCTGTAAAAGTCTGTCTCCGAGATCAGCGCATCGCAGACTAGCGGCACCGAGCCAGTAGCAGGCAGGGGAACAGGGCTGCTCCCTTTTTCCTGAGATGCAGTTTGGCTTCCGTCGTTAGTCACATTCCTCACCGTCGAGCCGATGTGGTGAAAGGCACGCTCCTCAGGGCATTGTGTTTAACCTACATTTCGGAAGGTGGGGAGGGTACGGTTCTGCTGAGGCGCTGGGCCTTTCTGACTGCCCAGGCTGGGAGACAGCACTCAGATTCCATACGTAAGTAAAAGTACAAATGCCACACCAAAATGTCACTAATGTAACAGCCATTTAGCAAAATACTAGTCAGGTAAAAGTAAAGTACATAATAATAATAATAATAATAATAATAAAACTTATTATTATTGTGGTTATTATTATTATAATTATTATACTGCAAATCTAAAGATAAATAAATAGGGCACTGTACTGCACCTCAAGCCGACGAACTGCTTAAGCTGTACTGTGTTTTCAGGAGCATCACAAAGCAGTGTGGCGTTCGTTATTACTAACCACTGTATTTAACACAGATTATTAATGTAACAGGATTTATGGCGTTCCGTTTGAAAGTACGAGTTGCCTCTGTGTTCTTAACTTGGGGACTGTCTGTATGTACACACACACACACACACACACACGTTTGTAATTATATCTTTGTGGGGACTCTCCATTCATTTCTATGGGGAAAACACTAATCCCACCATGACGCCCTTAACCCCTACCTGCGTGCTGCACCAGAACTTTCTGGATACAACCCCTTGCTGAGCCTTGTCATCTCGGGGCTGCTCCTCCCTGCCCGCGCTCCTAAGGTCCACTCTGTTTACGTAGTGCTGCCCCCTGTTGGTTGTGTCTCCTTAGGTCAGCGTGGTCGTTCGCAGCACCCACACCGAGGGCCAACAGGGCTGCGGCAGGATGCTACTGGCCGTGCGAATGGCCACCTGGAACCAGATCCTGGACCCGTGGGTTTACATTCTGCTGCGCAAGGCCGTCCTGAGGAAGCTGTTCCGGGTGGCACGTAGCTGCTGTGGCACCCACCTCCACATCCTCTCCAGCTGGAACTTCAGCACCGTCAAGGGCTCCATGCCCACAAGCACCTACCAGAGCTCCACCCCCGAGGGTGGGCAGAGCGGCAAGGTCACCGTGATGGAGGTCACTGGGACCCCGCCACTGTGTGTCTGAACGCGGCCAGTGTGTGAATGCAGCGCCATGCCGGTCCGCTGGAGGTCTGCCTCGGCTGACATGGTGCGCCTGCGTGGATGGAAAGTCCCGGAGAAGCACTCACCCTGTGCTAACGAGCGCAGGCCTCCATTTGTTGCATATCTCTGCGTCACATGACCAAAGAGGCCGTGCCGAGTGCTAACCGTCCTGATGGGATGCAAAGGAAAGGCTGGTGGTCTCTGTGTGGACGGCGTGGGAAGGCACATGAGATCCTGCTGTCCCTCCAAACTGCACCTCCCCTGCAGCCCTTCAGAGCCAACGAGTGTCACTCTGGGACCCTCACTCCTGGGCAGTGTGATATCCTGGGGGGGGGGGGGGGGGCAAAACAAAAACAGGCCGTGGCAGAAACATCATCAGAGCTTGAAGACACGCCAGTTTCTGTGGGGGGAGGGAGACACGGTGGTGGCACTGGGCAGTGGCCACCCAGGCCCCTGTTGCCATCAGGCACGGACCTTGGTGCCCCCAGATGAACAGCATGTGTCCATCAAAGCTGCCTTTATCCAGCCTTTTGCTCAGGATTGACACCACAAACTTGGCTCTGCTCAGTCTGACATTCTCGCTTTCAGCTGAGTTACATTCCTGCGACCTGAGAGGATTATGACGTCCACAGTTTGCCGTGTTTCTCTTCGCGTGGGGAATGCCCTCCCCACACTGACACCCACCTTTCAGACCCTCGTTCATGGCTGAACAATTTCAGATGTTTTTATGCAAAGTGACGTACTGTTGAGAAAGCAGGATCAGACAGTCCCTGGAGCGATTGCGGGTTAGGGGCCTCACTCAGCGGTCCAGTGGTGACATCACTCTGCTGACCCTGGGACTTGAACCGATGACCTTCTGGTCAGACACGGTGTTCTAGAGCCATACACTGCCCCAATTTCTTGTACAAGTGTGGCATTATGGGACATTGAAGCAACATAACTTTGTTATTCCTTGATGTACCAAACTTATTTGGTTCATCAAGTTATTAGTGATTCTGTCAGTTTTGAACAGTAATATTGTAGAGGCGGCAAAGATTAATAAATACAGATTTATTTTGAAAGGGACAGTTTTACTCCAGTAAGAAGCTTGGATTTAATGCTGTACAAAGGGCTGCATGTTTCGGAAATGTCAGCTTTAATGTCAAAGCTGTAAATAATATTCATAATGACACTTGTATGAAATGTTATGTGTGCATTGGTGTAATTGCTAATTCTGAGGAATACTAATCAATTACCTCTTGTTTGTTTTGTGTAACCATAAATGAAATATCATAATAATATTGATTTAAAATGACTGTTTGGCTCCTTGATGCTGAGGATGGAGTCACTTGCTGGTCGTTTTGTCATCGAAGAAATGAAAAGGTTGGGATCCCCTCATCTCCAAGTCATGTAATTTTCACTGGAAGTTTCACATGAATGTAAAGAAACTCGTGTTTGTGTGTGCAGATTCAGGCTTGAAGTGCGCCGTGTCAGGGCTGTGTCCGGCCAAGCCGTCCGTGTACGTGTTTGTCTGTCCTTCCCTCTGTGCATTCCTGGGTCTTGCCAAACACATGCTGTGAATGTACACATTATTTGGTATGCACATGTACTCTAATGGAGAGACAGAGCTCGAATTAAACCTCTGCAGGCTGCTGTGTCCTGACATGTCCATCATTTTGATTACACTGACGTAACCCGCTGTGGGTTATTAGACGGAGTGAATTAAGGTAAACAGAGTCTCTTTCTTTTCAGCACCAGCCAGGTTCAGTCCAGCATTTGCTAATGAAGTATGACTTCTGTGTTTCCACATGAATCACTTTAGAGGTTCTGAATACACCTCTGACACCACATTGGCAGTGTTACCTGGTTTGCAACCAATATTATTTAGGGATTCAAAATATTTTAACGCCATCTTGTGGACACCCAAAGAACACCCAACCTAAGAGATATCCTACCCTAGCATACAGCCTACCTTAAACAAGCTTAGAGCACTTAGATTAGGCTACAGTTGGGCAATCATTAACACAAAGCCTAATTAATATAAATTAGCTGAATATAATAGAATTTATTGTAATTATGTAATTTTTTAAATAATGTACTGAAAGAGTACAATATACACTCTCACATACTAACATTAAGATATATATATATATATATTAGGGGTGGAGCCGAACCCGAATACGGTATTCGGAAAGGCACAAATAACGTGTTTTTTACGAATACTTATTTCGAACAAATACTTAAAAAAATATTTGTATTCGGGAACAAGAAAATCCTTATATCAAAAAGCTGCGTTTCCTCTTGAGACCGCAGTGCATGCCCGGAAGAGTGAGTGAGTGAGTTCAGGAGTCGGGGGGGCAGTAAAAGAGGTGACTGACAAAGGCTGCTCCACACAGCAACAGAGAAGGCTCGGCTGAGCGAAAAAAGACTTAACTGTATCACTATTTTTGTTGAATAGATTTTTGTACCTTAACTGGGTTCCGGAGGCAGTTTATAACTTTCGGGAAGCGGAGTTTGATCAGGAGGGGTGCCTGAATTTGGGGCGGGGAAC